CTTTTCAGGACCCCACCTTGATGTTTTGGGACCCCACTTTGGGTCCCCACCCCAACTTTGGGAAACATTGGTCTATATAAACACCTTGAAATTGGCCTCTGTCTCTTTAAGAACCTCCTACCATTTCCAGCTTTCCCACTTCAGCACTTTTCACAACAGTGCTTCAGGGGAGGGGTGCTCTGTAGGGTGGGAGCTCAGCTGCTGACTGAGCTCCAGGGAGGAGCTTTGTGTAAAAAGGCGGTGCTTTGTACCAGCAAGCACACATGGCTACAGAAAACTCAAGGATTTCTCAAACATGCATGAATAAGTCAAAGCAACACTCTGGTATRTGYTTGATGAGGGAATGRCATGATAACATGATATAAAGCTCAAAATAGTTGATTTTGCTTAACACCCCCCCTTTAAGGTCAAAACTTGGTTTGACACATTTGTGATGACGAATCAGTTTAAAACCGGCCCAAAGGTCATCTCCTTCAGGAAATGCAAGGCATTTAATTGTAGAATTAAAACATCAGTCAAAAAACTTTTCCACACAATATAAATATAAATATTTGATCAGGTGACTGATAACTCATCACACTTTGTTTCCTCACGTCCAATTTTTTAGATCAAGCTGATACTCTGTATTATCCAAAATTAGCTAAATAATTTAAATCTACAAGTGTTATAATGACAGTACTAACAGAAATATTCAACAATAGTTTTAAGTATTTATTTCATAGCTATTTTTTTCCCAATAAAAGTTACAATAGTACCATCCAGAGCATGAACCAGTAAAGGGATATTACAAAAGTTGGAAGAGGGTTACAAAATATTTTCTGACTTAATCATTAACATTTCCTTTTTTTGTTACTTTACACTTCTGACAAAAGTAGAAAAACTTGTACAGCTAACAGTGCTCAATGCTAATTTTGTTTAGTGCCGACATAATCGACGTACGCACAGCACAACAGGAACTGACGAAGGACGACAATTAGTTTGTAAACAGAGGAAAACATGACAAACAAGCAGAAAAATGCCACCAAAACCAAACGGATCATAATCCAGATTAACTTTTCAATAAATATTTAACAAATCCTTTGTTTTGTGTTAACGTTCATTTCTATTTCTTATAACTTTATTACATATAACCACCTGAACGTGCAAAAACATGTTTAAACATTAAATCCTTTCAATATATTTATATTGCACACTTACATATTCCCTTTCTAGGGAGAAGTTGTTTTTTTTCTGTCTTAAAGACAAACGTTAGTGCAGAAAAAACAGAAGTTCCTTTTTATGATTACCAACATTTTGTTYTGTGGAAAAAGAGCAAACACTTTGTCCAATTGAAGCCCTTATTATTGGAGTCAAACACAGTCCACAGGCTTGGCGTAGGATTGAGAGTAAACAGACGGTTGGATTCGACGCCGTCACGGAGGATTTAAAATTTGAAGAGGTCGATAAAGTGCTGCGGAGAAATGGGCATCAGGCAGCTGTCTGGATCGTTGGCTGTGCAYGGGTGGCCAAAGTCCTGAGAGAAAAATGAACCAAAGTGTTAGGAATGAAACCACAAAACATCAGCTAATAGAGATGACTGACACGATAACGAACGGCTGATAACAGAACATAAAGCAGTTGTTTGGAAAAGAATGAAGGGGTTTAGATTAGGGCTGCCACAAATGATTATTTTTRTAATCGATTAATCGCCGATTATTTTTTCGTATAGTCGACTAATCAGATCATACATTAATTGAATAAAAAACATAGAGCTTATCGCGCCAGAATGCAGCTGCTATTTTATAACCATGGTTAGATTTTAGCTTTATGCTAACTAAAAATAATTGCTGCTCTGCAGATATTGTACAGGTTTCTCTTTCATTTTCTTAAAATGATCCCACACTTTTGAGCTCCGTTGC